CCCTGCAGGGCACGGCTGAAGATGGATGTCTGCTGCAAAGTGGCCTGTCATGGAGCAGTGAACTGAGGGTGGTCTCCACCAGCCTGGGCACACAAGTGAGCAGGCACGCAGATCCTGCCATGCTTAAGCCGTCAGCAAAGGCCAAAGCTTTAGGGCTTGAGGCACAGGCACCCGGCTAAGGCATGCCCAGAATCCCGGACCACCGAGCTGTGAAATAATGTTTTAAGCCATTAACGTTTGGTGTCATTCGTTGTACAGCTATAAGATGACTCCCCCTCTGTGCCTGCTCCATGGAGCCATCCTTTTAAATGCTTACACTGTAGAAAATAATCCTGAATGTTTTTGTTTTGTTTTGTTTTGTTTTTTAGGTCACTGGTAGCAGTAAGGAGTGTGGATTAGAGGGTGTGAGAGTGAGAAGTGGCCAGCGCCGTGGCTCACTAGGCTAATCCTCCGCCTTTCGGTGCCGGCACACCGGGTTCTAGTCCCGGTCAGGGCGCCAGATTCTGTCCCGGTTGCCCCTCTTCCAGGCCAGCTCTCTGCTGTGGCCAGGGAGTGCAGTGGAGGATGGCCCAAGTGCTTGGGCCCTGCACCCCATGGGAGACCAGGATAGGTACCTGGCTCCTGCCATCAGATCAGCGCAGTGCGCTGGCCGCAGTGCGCCGGCCGCGGCGGCCATTGGAGAGTGAACCAACGGCAAAAGGAAGACCTTTCTCTCTCTCTCACTGTCCACTCTGCCTGTCAAAAAAAAAAGAAATAAAAGAGAGAAGTAGGAGGGCAGTTGAAATCGTCATCCAGTGAGGAGACGAGGGTGACGTGGACTGGAGGGAACAAGGCACAGTGGAAATGAAGGGAATGGACAGACCTGCTGTGCACTGAAGAGGTTTGGCTGGACTTTGTATGGGGCTGTGAGAGGGGGCAGAGGGGAGAAGAAAGGAGGAATGGTGGGCAGCCTGCATATTTGTGGCATGAGTGCCTTGGACAGGGTGGCCATTTATTGTGATGAAGACACTAGAGGAAAATGTTCAGGGGAAAGAATCAAGAGTTCAGTTTGGAACATTACACGTTTCAGATGCTTGTGAGAGAGCCGAGTGAGGATACCAGGTGGGCACCGGGTGGCCGCGCCTGGGCTTGTGCTAAAGCAAAATTGTATCCACGAGAGTGCCTTCCCCACAAGGGGCAGAAACCTGACTCCAAGTGGTTTTTAAAATAAACACTGGCTTGGGCATTTGGCACAGCAGTTAGGTCTCTGCTTGGGATGCCCACATTTCTTTTCAGAGTCCCTGGGTTTCAGTCCCAGGTCTGTTTTCAATTCCAGCTTCCTGCTCATGTGCGGGCAGGAAGTGATGGCTCAAAGTTTAGGTCCCTGCCACCCACATCTGAGAACTGGACAGAGTTCTGGGCTCCTGGCTTCCACATGGCCCAGCCCAAGCTGTTGTAGCTTTACTCCCATCTGGGAAGTAAAGCAGTGGATGGAAGTTAAAAAATTTTTTAAATTTTTTAAATAAAGAATTTTGTAGATATAATGGAAAGTACAATTCAAGTGCAGCTTCCTAAGGTCTCACCTCTGTTATGTCATGCAGCTCTGCCCCCTTTGACAGTGGACTTCTCTCAGGCTGCCTTGTTCCCTGGTTGTGAGGGGGCTAACCATAGCAACAAGGACCAGGTGCCCCTCGATCATTTCTAGTGGGAATATGAGCTCACGTCCCAGTCCTTAAAGGCAAAGATTTCCTAGAAGCCCCCTCCAGCCTGTTCCACTTGGATTGGGCCTCAGTCATTGAAATAGTCCCTGGCAAGAGGTAGTCTTACTGTCCTGGGGTCAGCAGCCCACGTTGGACATAACTGCTGTGTAAGAGGGAAAAGTGAGTATTGGAGTCGAGCACATGTCTTGTACAAGAGTCTGGCGTGCAGTTGGAATTTGAAGCCTTGCTGCAAAGAAGTGTGCTGAACAAGGATAAGGGCACAGAGGGATGAGGAATTAGGCCCTGCCTTGAAGTTCACTGAAATGTGCAGGTCACAAAGGAGGAGCAGGGGTAGGCTCTTGGCACCGTGGTTCACCGCTAGGGAAGCCTGCGTCCTGCGTCTGAGTGCCAGCTCTGCACCGTATCCAGCTTCCTGCCCATGCTTATCCTGGGAGGCAGTGGTATGGCTCACGCAGTTGAGTCCCTGTCACCCATGTTTGAGACCCAGGACTGAGTTCTTGGTTTCTGGCTTCGGTTCAGCCCACCCTTACAGGCATTTAGGGAGTAAACCAATGGATGGACAATCTCTGTCTCTCTTTGTCTCTCTGTCTTTCCAAGTAAATAATTTTTAAAGACAAAGAAGGAGCAGTCAACAAAGGAAGAAAAATGAAAGCAGACAGTGTTCTAGAGGCCAAAGGAAGAAAATACGTCAAAATAGGAGTTGACAGCTGCATGATGATAAGGACTGGAGAGTGTCCATTAGATTTGGTGGGGAGGGTGTGGGCAATGTTAGCACCGGCAGTTTTGGTTCAGTGATGGAAATGGAAAGAGGACTGACATGGACTGAGGAGTAGAAAGGTAATAGAACCGCGAGTACAGACACTTCATTTATGACATGGGGAGACAAGTAGCCAGCAAGCATTAACTCAGCCTTTTATCACTCAAGGAAATGCACATTTTAAACAACAAGATAACACTGTATGCCCATCACATTAACAAAACATGAAGAACTGATGGTGCCAAGTGTTGATAAGGACATGAAGCATCAGGAACTTTCAAATACTGTTGGTGAGAATGTTAATTTATAATAACTTGGGGAAATACTGTGGTGTTTTATAGCAAGATTGACAAAAAGCATAGTCCGTGCACCTTACAGTGTTGAGTAAAAAAAAAAAAATTAAACTAAAACTCAACTGTGACTACTGTTTGGATGTGTACAAAGACGACCGAACTACTGAAAAACAGAAGGTGGGGGCGGCCCAGTGGACTGCAGAGCACCAGCGAGGGTCTATTTCTTGCCCTCGTTGGCAGCAGTGCCAGGTGTGCACTTGAGTTATTTGGTGCGAAGAAGTTTATTTCATTGTGTTAAAATGTTTTTCAAAGGACAGGAGGAAGTGGAGAGTGGAGTTGGGCTGCAGACAATTTGAGACGCCTGCAGGGGAGCAGAGGTGGAGGTGTCACTGAAAGTGTTGTGGAAGCAAGAATTAAGCTCTCTGCTTGCTGTTTTGTTTCAACGCAAGTCCCTAGGGCGGGAACCCAGGTGTGGGTGAAATAGGTCACACCGTGCTCAGGGATACACCTGCTCGCTGCTTTACTGAATCTGAGCGTCCTGGGTCAGACGATGCACCACAGATGCACACCAGGATCTCCGGAGTTTTCTAGATTTGCTGGAGAGTCCGCCTGATGCTGGTTATTTTGTCTGGGTAACTTCAGAGTAATTCTGACCCATTTAACCTGCGTTTCATGTTCTCACAGCCCAGAAGCCTTTGCTCTTCATCTGGCTTCCAGGAAAAGCAGTGAATCCACACTTCTTCCCTGTGGCTATGCAGACGCTGACTTTCAGGTATTAGGAAATGTGCATGCCTGGAAGGAAGAAATCTGGGCTTTGGGGGGAAGGAGAGAATATTGTATTTGGCTAGCTTAGTTGAGCTAGTGCAGGGAGAAGAGCCAGCTGTCTATTTGCAGAGTAAGGAACTCAGAGGCCTGGAGAGAGGAGGTGTGAATTCCAGCTCCAGCAGCTCCAGCGACAGCATGTGCTGGGACTCCTGTGTGAATGCGGATATAGGGTTGCCTACCAGGCTGGCAAGATTAAATGGTGTGAAGAAGTACTCAGCCCATGGAAGGGTCTCCACGTTGATGTTTTCCTACTTCACAGTAACTCAGGCTTGGGGGTGGAGGTGGGGACTGTTTGAAAATGCAAACGTAGATTGGCACCAGAATTTGGGGGTGGGGTGGGGGGGCACAAGGCAGGCCTACAGCCTGGAACCAGCCATCTCTGGGGATTGCTGTTGTTTCTTTTTTCTTTTTCTTTTTTTTTTTTTTACAGGCAGACTTAGTGAGAGAGAGAAAGAGAGACAGACAGACAGAGAGAAAGGTCTTCCTTCCATTGGTTCACCCTCCAAAGGGCTGCTATGGCCGGCACACTGCGCCAATCCGAAGCCAGGAGCCAGGTGCTTCCTCCTGCTCTCCCATGTGGGTGCAGGGCCCAAGCACTTGGGCCATCCTCCACTGCCTTCCCGGGCCACAGCAGAGAGCTGGAGTAGAAGAGGAGCAACCGGGACAGAATCTGGTGCCCCAACCAGGACTAGAACTCAGGGTGCCGGCGCCGCAGGTGGAGGATTAGCCAAGTGAGCCGCGGCACCAGCTGTTGCTGTTGTTTCTGACTTTCCATCCCCCTGGCTGAGATCACTGCTGCTTTAATACGTGTATTCACCCAGCATTGGAGCGCCCTAGGTATCAGGGGTGCTGCAAGGCAATGGGGTCCCATCCTGTCTGTAGGCCAGGGTCCCCTTCTTGAGGCACTGTTTCCTTCTGACTGTGTGAGGTGTTCAGTCAGAACTGACCATGCATTGCGAGAAGAGCGAAGAATTGTAGCTTAAGAAATCAAGTGGATGGGGCTGGCACTGTGGCATAGCAGGTCAAGCCACTGCCCGTGGTGCCAGCATCCCATATGGGCACCAGCATCCCATATGGAGGTTGCTCCGCTTCCAATCTAGCTCCCTACTAATGCACCTGGGAAAGCAGTAGTAGATGGCCCAGGTCCTTAGGCCCCTGCACCCACATGGGAGACCCGGATGAAGCTTCTGGCTCCTGGCTTCTGCCTGTCCCAGACTTGGCCTTTGCAACCATCTGGGGAGTGAACCAGTGGATGGAAGACCTTTCTCTCTCTCTCTCTCTCTCTCTCTTTCTCTCTACTTCTGCCTCTCCCTCTCTCTAACTCAGATTTTCAAATAAATAAATAAATCTTTAAGAAAAAGAAATTGAGTGGAAAAAAATGAAAAAAGATAACATGTTTAAAGAAAAACTGGTTAAAATTTATAATAAAAATTAACTTAAAAAGGGATAAAGCACCCTTCATATGATTGTGTAAAGTTATTAATTAAAACTATGCTTCCTTAGATCAAATAAGAAAATTAAATTCAGGTTGGGGATGGGGAACAGAATTAAAGTAGCATTTAGGAGGGTTAATTTTACACTTGATCTTAGCCAAAAGGCTGAGAAGCGATGGAAGAGTTCATTTTAATGGTCAAGTGGTGCCTTCATAGGATCAGAAATATTAAGTGAAAAGTATAGACTATTTCCTACTAAAAATACTGCAAAGCCAACAAATTTGCCTGGAAAAAACAACTTTAAAATCAGGTCTACTGAAATAACAATATTCACATATATTAAAAATATATTAAAAAATCTTGAGAGAGACAGGCATTTAGCCTAGGAGTTAAGAGGCTGGCATTCCATATTGAGTACCTTGGTGCAATACCTGCCTCTGCTCCTCACTTCCCACTAATGCAGGTGCTGAGACGCAGCAGGGGGTGGCTCAAGTAATTGGGTTTCTGCCATGCACAGGACCTGGATTGAATAACCAGCTCCTGGCTTCAGCCCAGCCCAGCCCTGGCCATTGCAGGCATTTGGGAAGTAAATCAGCAAATAGGAACATTCTTGCACGCATCTCTCTCTCTCTCTCTCTCTCTCTCTCTCTCTCTCTTTCCCTCACCCTTTCTGCCTTCCCCTCCACCCCCAAATAATTTTTTAAAAAATTTTGCTTTAAACCATTCAGCTGTACACCCTAGAGGAGGGAATTTTATGGCATGTAAGTTAGAACTCAATAAAGTAGTTCCTAAAAGAAAAAAATTGAAAAGGTTAAGATACTGCCTGCAGGGGCTGGCATTATAGTGCAGCAAGCATCCCAGTCCAGTCCCAGCTGCTCCACATCTTTTCTGGTGGTGGTGGTGGTGTTAAAGATTTATTGATCTATTTGAAAGGCAGAGTTAGAGAGAAAGAGAGAGAGGGAGAGATCCTCCTTCTGCTGGTTCACTTCTCAAACACCTATAATAGCCAGGGCTGGGCAGGCTGGAGCCAGGAGCCTGGAATTCCATCTGAGTCTCCCACATGAATGGCAGGGGCCCAAACACTTAGGCCATCCTCTGCTGCTTTCCTTGGCACACGAGCAGGGAGCTGAATAAGAAGCAGAACAGGCGAACGGGCACTTTAATATGAGATGCCAGTGTCACAGTTGGTGGCTTATCTGTTATGCCACAACACGGGGTTTGGGGGAATGGGGTTGGGCTCTCTCCCCAACCCCCATCCTGCTGCCCCATTTCTGATCCACCCACCTGCTAATGTGCCTGGAAAGCAGCAGAAGATGGCTCAACTGCTTGAGTTTCTGCCACCCACATGGAAGACCCAGATGGAGTTTCTGGCTCCTGGCTTTGGCCTGGCCCAGCCCTGGCCATTGCAGCCATTTGGGGAGTGAACCAGCAGATGGAAGATTGACTCTCTCTCTCTCTCTCTCTCTCTCTCTCTCTCTCTCCCCTGACCCCCATGTTACTCTGCCTGTCAAAAAAGGATACTGTTTTTTTTTTTTTTTTTTTGCCTTTAAAATTTTTATTTTAAAATGATTCACATAGTATAGAAAAGTATAAAAAAGGTTTCAATGAACACCCACAAATTGAACAAGATTTTAATTTTTTCAAGTTCACTTCATATGTATACACATACATTGTACTTTTTTTTTTTTTCCTTACTTTTTTTTTTTTAACTTTTATTTAATGAATATACGTTTCCAAAGTACGAATAATGGATTACTATGGCTTCCCCCCCATACCGTCCCACCCACATCCCTCCCCTTTCCCACTCCCTCTCCCCTTCCATTCACATCAAGATTCATTTTCGATTATCTTAATATACAGAAGATCAGCTTAGTATACATTAAGTAAGGATTTCAACAGTTTGCTCCCACACAGAAACATAAAGTGAAAAATAATAGATGATTTTTTTTAATGATGATGAAATCAGATCAGACCTATTGTCATGTTTAATCCCAGTGAGAGTCAAGTTGGGAGTTGATAGTTTCTTTTCTTTTCTTTTCTTTTTTTTTTTTTTTTTTTTTTTTTTTTTTAGAGGATCAGTTTAGTATGCATTAAGTAAAGATTTCAACAGTTTGCACCCCCATAGAAACACAAAGTGAAATATATTATTTGATTACTCATTATAGCATTAAATCTCAATGCACAGCACATTAAGGACAGAGATCCTACATGAGGAGTAAGTGCACAGTGACTCCTGTTGTTGACTTTACCAATTGACACTCCTGTCTATGGCATCAGTAATCTCCCTATGCTCCAGTCATGAGTTTCCAAGGCTATGGAAGCCCCTTGAGTTCTCCGACTCTTATCTTGTTTAGACAAGGTCATAGTCAAAGTGGAAAGAGGAAATCCAAATGGCCAACAGGCACATGAAAAAATGTGCAAGGTCATTAGCAATCAGAGAAATGCAAATCAAAACCACAATGAGGTTCCACCTCACCCCGGTTAGAATGGCTCACATACAGAAATCTACCAACAACAGATGCTGGCGAGGATGTGGGGAAAAAGGGACACTAACCCACTGTTGGTGGGAATGCAAACTTGTTAAGCCACTATGGAAATCAGTCTGGAGATTCCTCAGAAACCTGAAGATAACCCTACCGTTCGACCCAGCCATCCCACTCCTTGGAATTTACCCAAAGGAATTTAAATTGGCAAACGAAAAAGCAGTCTGCAGCCTAATGTTTATTGCAGCACAATTCACAATAGCTAAGACCTGGAACCAACCTAAATGCCCATCAACGGTAGACTGGATAAAGAAATTATGGGATATGTACTCTTTAGAATACTATACTGCAGTAAGAAACAACGAAATCCAGTCATTTGCAACAAAATGGAGGAATCTGGAACACATCATGCTGAGTGAAATAAGCCAGTCCCAAAGGGACAAATACCATATGTTCTCCCTGATCGGTGACAACTGACTGAACACCAAAATGGAAACTTGTTGAAGTGAAAGGGACACTATGGGAAACGGTGACTTGATCAGCATAGCCCTGACTGTTAATGAACAACTTAATACATTATCCCTCTTAGTAGTTTTTTTGTCTGTTCTACTTAATATGACTGATTCAATTCTGTAATTAATACACAGTTATTCTTAAGTGTTGAAATTTAACTGAAATGTGATCCCTGTTAAACATAAGAGTAGGAATAAGAGAGGGAAGAGATATATAATTTGGGACATGCTCAAGCTGACTTGCCCCAAATGGTAGAGTTAGAAACATACCAGGGGACTCCAATTTAATCCCATCAAGGTGGCATGTACCAATGCCATCTCACAATTCCAAGTGATCAATTTCAGTTCGCAATTGATCATAATGAAAGGACTAAGAGTCAAAGGGAGCACATAAGCAAGTCTAGTACCTGCTAACACTAACCGATAGAATAAATAAAGGGGAGAGTGATCCAACATGGGAAGTGAGATACTCAGCAGACTCATAGAATGGCAGATGCCCTAAATAGCACTCTGGCCTCAGAATCAGCCCTAAAGGCATTCAGATCTGGCTGAAAAGCCCATGAGAGTATTTCAGGCATGGAAAGCCAAGACACTCTGGCAAAAGATCTCTGTGAGTGAGATCTCAGTGGAAAGAACAGGTCTTCAAAGAAGGAGGTACCTTTCTCTGAAGGGAGGAGAGAACCTCCACTTTGACTATGACCTTGTCTAAACAAGGATACTGTTTTTTTAAAAAAGGATACTGCCTCTCAATGATATCACTGGCCTATGGTTTGCACACAAATGCTTACTGAGTACATGAGCAAAAAAATGCACATCTACACATGCGTGGGACAAAGCAGCAGTCTAGGTTCCTTCTGGCACTGAGGAGACTTCAACTCGACTACTTTAAACTACTTTTAAGGCTAATGCCAGAGGATGCTCACAAACACACATTGAGGCATCAAGTTTGGCATTTTGGATTGTTCTGCTGGTATTTTTTAAAATGAGATTTATGCTTACATAGAGCTCCCAAATCATGAGCACCGTTTAGTCTCTGACTTTAGACTTGGTTAAAAAAAAAAAAGGCTCCCTTGCCGGAAGCCCAGAGCGGAGGCTCGGACTGGGGCGTGCAGTTCGCAGCTCTCACGCGGCGTGCTGCCATGGCTGAGTGCTCCCCAGATCCCGTGAATGGCTGTCTTGTGAACAATGTGAGGACAGAAGGGAGCTGCCGCGGGCTTCCTTCCAGCTGCAGGCACCAAAGCACAGAGAGTGCCGCTGACTGCAGCTGGGAGTCCTGAAATGGCCCTCTGTTTCACGGCGTGCCCATCCGAGCCACCATCCAAAACAGGGCCATTAGAAGGACACCTGAGAGTCTGCCGTTAGCTGCAGCGCCGCCTCCTGCCAGTGTCTCTCCTCCCGCTCTGCTGAGCTCTAAGCAATATTTAAATGAATTGGAGGCAGGCCAGGCGTTCACTATCCTTCCCTTTTTCACTGTCTTTGACTTATTCTCCCAGGGCTTTCTGTTCCTAGGATGTAGTTCTTGGAGCCGGCGGTCAGTCCTGTCTGATTGGAAGGCCCTGGAGGTCCTCCTTTGCTCCCCTGTCCTTTCCCCTCCTTGTGAAGCATGAAGAAGGTGACATGGGGCAGGTGAACCCCTGGAGGAGGAGGAGGAGGAAGCAGAGCTTCTCCCTGCCTCTCCAGACATTTCTTTCTTGTGGGATTCCACGGTATAGCCACAGGACTGGCCATTAGGTAGCTCAGATTAAGTGCTGAGCCTAAAACATGCGATGGTAATACTAACAGACTCTTGGGTTCTGAAGCATATTCAGAGCAGGAGGGAGTGGATGTACGAAGGAAGCAGGGGCGGGTATAAAGGCTACTGGCTGCCAGGCATTGCGCTAGGTCCAGAGATTCAGTGATGAATTAGGTACCAGTGGCGGGTATCTGGTACCTCCATTTTTCAGTTAACAGATGCCCTGCTGGCACTTCACTGAACTGAAACACACACTTGTAGGTTGAACATCAGCCATGTTTGCTCAAGATCTGCCTGTTTTCCTGTGTGTGCAACACTTCGAGAAATTCCTACGAATAGTAACACCGTGGATCTAGCCTAGTTATGAAAAGCAAACTACCTAAAAGACTGCTGGCAGGTGGACTGGCGATCGGCCTGGGTGGTGCAGCATAGTAGCCTTTCCCAGTCATG